AAGCTTTAAAATCACTACATCCTACATGTCCTATAGTGCAACTTGAAAGCATCTAATCTCAGACACTCCCTAGCTGGAAGCTGACATTTAAGACTTGTTTGTTCAGCATGAATACTCATATTTGTGTCTAAAATTGCAATCATGGCTGAACATCCACATATGGCTGTCATTTAATTTACAAAATCTCATCGCACTGGTAAGAATCACTTTTAAACCTACGATGTGTTGTTTTATCAGTGAGTTTGCAACAGACATTTTGTCAAACAAACCTTCCAACTAGTCTCGTGGCAATCGGGCATATAGCTGAATGCACCAGCAACACACTCACAATGACAAGGCTAACATGTTGATGCTAAACAGATATATTTACCATGTTAACCTTATTAATTTAGCATACTTGCATAGCTAACATTTGCTTATTAGTATTAACCACAAAATACAGCTGAAGCTGATGGAAATGTCATTAGTATTTTGTCACTGACCTGAGCATGGTGCTACATGATGAGGATCACAAGACTAATTACAGTTCAGTCTGAGGTGAATGTGAATGTATTTTGGTTTCTCTTTTTAATTGCAATTAAGGAAAACAGTTACAGAAACTAAACAGTGTCCAACCTCCAGGCTTTCAGTCCATAAAATGGGTGAAGTTCTATATTTCTCTTGATGCAGCTCAACTGCATCTAGCCTGGTAAATACCCAGCTCTTTTATATTCCAGACTGGCACTGTAACTACTTTATCAAATCTGCAAGTCATTTTCTTGATTAACTGATGAACTGCTTGGTTTATAAAGTGTGAAAATCATTAAAAAAAATGCCAGACTGCTTCCCGAAACCCAAAATGACATCTTCAAAGTGCTTGTTTTGTCTGACTCCAAACCCCAAAGATAGAGTTAACATGAATGAACAACATGGTCACAGCATTATGAACCGAAATTGCCAGGTTTGTTAAAAAATAAACAGTCCATCATGTGATAAATAAACAGCTGCTGACTAATTTTCTGCTGATTGACTAAACAAAGCTGTTATTCGGTGTGATCTGGTTTGTAATGCAGACTTTCTGTTATTTAAAAAGTGTTGTCACCAGGCCAAATCAGATATGAGTATTTCTGCAGACCTAGCAAAGCTCCAGAACTGTGTTTTACCAGCAAGTACATGCACAAAATTGGTGGAGTACCCCTTTAATTTGGATTCTCTGTTTACATTAGACTGCACTTCTTAAAGCTGGACTATTCAGTGGGGGCTGAATACGTTTAGCCTTTTTTCACTGGTTATCAAAAGTGGCTTTCTTAGCTTTGATTGAAGAGCTAATTACACTCACTACATGTAGGCAGTCAAGCTTCTTGTTGCACTCTTTTCGGGTCTCTTACCCTGATTTACATGAGCCCAGTAACTCTTGACTTCATTTCTTGTCTTTTGGCTGCATAATTACAGAATAATTGCTTTGCTGTATTTTACTCGACAGAGAATACTTAACCACTGAAGCCATGAAATAACAGACTGGGATGGGATGATCTTCTCTAGTGGGAGAATAGACAAGAGGAAGGGAGAGTGTCTGCAGGGAGACAGCGGTAGCATGCTCCACCACTCCACAGCCGGCGCTTGTGCCTACACAGAGACCAGCACAAAGGGCCCGACCCGTATTTGATGCTTCGTGGCCATGGACACAAGGAGAGGCTGCCAGTCTCATAAAATAGAACTCAATTAACAGTTTTGCTACAGGCATATTGGAACATTGTTTCATTAATGAGATGAATACAGTCTGATAATTACTTCATCTCAATTAGGAAATAAGGCTACACTCTATATTGATTGTAGCTGATGAGCTTGAAAGTTAATTAGGAACACAAAATTTCAAAAGTCTGTTTGGCTTTGTTGATGTTTAACAGTCGTGGGAGCTGTTTGTTCGTGAGTTTTTGCTTTTGCAGTTTTAACGGGTGTGCGGGTTTTCCTGTCACAGTAGGTCTAAGTCTAATTTATCTATTTAACCAAAGTTATGTCTCTCGTTTCAGCAAAACAACCCACTTCTCTTCTAACCTTGATGAAGGCTCATGTTTGAAGTGTTCAGCGTTGGCTTTGATGTCGGTCCGGCCGTTCGGCTGTGAGCCACTAGAGGGAGCCGTGGCCCTGCTGAAAGCACAGCAGCATGTGGGCCTGGGCTGACTGAAGCGGTTCACCGAGCCCCCATTAATGCACCTGTGCAAAGCCAGTTGGAACAAACTAATAGTGCATTACCATTAACAGTACAAATTACACCATTAGGCACACTTGGCTCTCAGGCCTTGTGATAGCTATAAATAGTTTCACTTGGTCTTGGACAATTTGTGCTGTTCTTGCATAATGACAGCACTCAAATTAATTCAGGGTGTGTGAATGGAATACACATATTACCACATGCGGTGAAAGGGGACATTTTGGGCCTTTTTAATGATATGCCTCTTCCTGCAGAACCGCCTTTGTGAGACAAATTATTCAGTGGGCCCAGCAGCTCTAAACATAAGTAAAATGTCTCTGTTACAACACATCCAGAACATTTGATCCTCTTACTGCTGAAGCTGTGCACAGAATAATGACCTCTTTTTGTCAATGAAAGTTGGCTGGACTGCTTGAGATGGCCCTCTGGATTGGTTTTGGAACCTTTTCCAGTGGACCATAGGAGACACAGCACAGTTTTTGCAGCTTGCTGACCTCAAAGTAGTTTCACTTCTGCTCCATAAAACAAACAGAGCAGAGCAGGGGCAGCTTGACTGCCCCTCACTGAGACTGTGGACAGGACCTTAAAGCACTTGGCCAAAGGGGACCATTATGTGTACTACTTTTCGCTGTGTTTTATGTAAATGTGCCACGCTGAAATGGAAGGTAAAATTAAGCCAGCATGTCAGAGGCACCAGGCCAGGAAAACCTCAAGTGTTCCTGATATTTTTCCTGGAGCCTTTTGCAGATGATAGATTGCAGTTGACATAGGAAGAAAACAATGGAAGCCATCATTGTTATAAAGTACTGCCAGATTAATTCTTTAATGGTTTCTTGCCTTCTTGCCTGTTACACATTGACATTTGATGATGTGAACGGGATAGTTAAACAAGAATCTACAGCCATAGTTTAGACACGGAGTTTGACTTTAATGTATTGACATCTGATTCACAGAGCGAAGTATCTGTTTCTCTAAAAGATAAATACCCAGCAATGTGTGAAAACCCCCAGACTGTTTTGTCAAGACCTACTGCTGTTCAGAAAATATTTCTGAAAACCTTCTGCATATCAGAATGGAAAAAGTTTTTTTCTATTGTACAACAACAACAACAACAATATTAATAATAAACAGTCCATACAGATGAGGACTGGTGGGTAACCTGAAGAAGAAACAACTGGATTTTATTTAATTTTTTTTGCACAGCAAAAAGATTCAATAATAGAACAAACTGTCATGAACTTAGCAGAGACAGAACTAAGTTATTTAAACATGATGATTGCACTAGAAGAAAAATCAGATCGATCAAAATTATTCCAGTTCATCCTGAGGGGGACATGAATGTGTGTACCAAAATTAACAGCAACAGTTTTTAAGATATTTCATTGAAACCCCCACAATGTTCACCTAGCGCTAGTCAGTTAATTGCTAAAGTTATCTGGGCATATCCTCTGGGGACCATGAATATTTTAAAAATCTAACTGCAGTCTATCCTACAGCTGACATGTTTCAGTCCAGGTCAACCGACCAACGTTGCCATCCCAGAAGCCGGGCTCTAGCATGTCTGACGAGCAGTAATCCATGTATACACGTTGCCCTGTCTGTCACAGACAGTACTGCTACAACTCTTTGTATAGATGCACTCATCAATTAAAAAGAACATGGATAAGTAGATGAATTAGAAAGATTTCATCATCATCAGATCCATCATTTACATGTATCGGTACATAATGTAATACATAATGGACAACATGAGCCTGTGAGCACCAAAGGGAGGTTGACCCCATACAGGAAACTCTCTGATACTCTTAATTAGATTGCTGTATTGTAGTTTGACCTTGGTAGAAGACACTCTGCACTCGTCTGTCTCTCGCTCGCTCACTCTGTCCTTCTCTTGCTCTTGGTTGTGCTGGCAGTCTAAGAGCACAAAGTGGAGCATGGGCATTTTCTCCTGGAGGGTAGGAGAGAAATGCAATCAGCAATTCAATCGTGGCCATTGTGTAGCAGTGCTGATGAGCTTTGCAGAGTAGATAATGGATTAAATTATTTATTCCCCCCAGCCCCTCCCCCCCAAACGCTCATTGTTGCCGCCTCTTTGTGCTGCTACAGCAGTACACGGACATAGGTTGAAGGCCTAGATCACTCGCTGCCTTTCATAGATCTAATTTTTCTAATTAGCGCTTGAATGCACAATGGTTCCTTCCCCTTTTGCTCCCTGCTTCCACCACGGTGTTCATTGTCACATAGATTCCATGAGGTGAGCATGTGAACCTGTCACCGTCCAGTTCAGGACAGAGAAAAACACTGTGCCACCACATCATCATCACTCCTCCCCGTGCTTTCCTTATTGCCACGCTAAGTGATTGTGATAACAACCTAATCAAGGACATTTTCTTCAAGTGAATGCTACTAGACTGCAGCTGCTGTGTAGAAGACTGGCTGACCTGGGATCAGGAACGCTGTCGCTCGTCTAAGTGATTTCAATAATGCTTTAACCATATGCAGCAAACAGGGAAGAAAGCTGGACCCAGATCATCTATGATATTGATCATGGGGACCATCAATCTAGAGCTCAGTGTACAGTATGACTGGTACAACAGATGTCTTCATGGCTCAAGAGGTAGAGCAGGTTGTCCCCTAAGAGGTTCAAATCCCAGCTTCTCCAGTCTACATGTCAAATTGTCCCTGAGCAAAACGCTGAACCCTAAATTGCTCCTGGTGATATCACTGTCTTAAGAGTGCTTGTGTGAGCAAATGGGTGAAAGGGCAAATACTGTGAAAGCACGT